GCAACAATACTCCCACGGAAAGGCAAGCTGGCATCTGTTCTGTTTTTGGCATAAAAGGTGTCGTCAATCCAGGGGTCTACCTGGGTCTTCCGTCCATATGGGTAAGATCAAAAAAATCTGCTCTTGGTTATATCAAAGAAAGAATGAGAAAGAAAGTGCAAGGATGGAAATCTAGCTCCCTTTCTTTAGCAGGAAAAGAGGTCCTCATTAAAGCTGTGGCTATGGCAATTCCTGCCTATCCTATGATGTGTTTTAAATTCCCTGCTAGTTTATGCAAAGAAATCAACAGTGTTATTGCGAGATTTTGGTGGGCTAATCAAGAGAAGGATTCAGGTATGCATTGGAAAGCTTGGCACACCCTGTGCATGAGTAAGATGAATGGGGGGGTTAGGCTTTCGTGACTTACAGGATTTCAACCTTGCCTTACTCGGCAAACAGTGCTGGCGTTTAATCCAAAACCAAAATGCCCTATGGGCTCAAGTTCTTAAAGCTCGCTATTTCCAGGATGTGGATTTTTGGAAAGCTAAGAAAGGTCATCGTGCCTCCTGGATTTGGGCAAGTCTTATCGCAGGAAGAGATGAGGTGCTAAATCATGCTAGGGTCCAGATCTTGAGTGGTGAAAATACTAATATTTGGATGGATAAATGGCTTCCTGCTCCTCATTGCGGAGTCATTCATCCTACCACTTCTGTCCCTGCGAATTCACCCCAGTTGGTGGCAGATATTATGGACAAAGTCTCCCACCAATGGAACTTCCAAAATGTAGGTATGGTTCTTGATCGTGAAACTATGGATGCAATCAAGTGCATTCCCATTGGTAATGTTGGTAATCCAGACCGTATAGTTTGGCCCTGGAGTGCTAATGGCGTATACTCTGTTAAGTCTGGGTACCACAGAATTCATGCTCTAAGATTTGATCTGTCTGGAGTCAGTGCTCACTCTTCTCATATCATAAACCCGGTGGTGTGGAAGGAGTTGTGGAGTTTGGTTTCTCAACCCAAAATTAAAATGTTCCTGTGGAGACTGCTCTCTCGCTCTCTGGCTACTTGTCTCAATCTCTTTCGAAGAAAAATTAGGGAGTCTCCTTTATGCCTTATCTGTGAGGAATTGGAAGAATCAGAGGAACATTTGTTTTTCTTGTGCCCTTGGGTCCGAACAGTTTGGTTTGGCTCTGAGTTAAACTATAGAATCAATCCCCAGAGCTTTCGAACCTTTGATCAGTGGTTTCTTAATTTGACCCAAATGGAGTTCTCGTCTAAAGTAGATAAAAATTGGTGCTTAACCTATATAAGCTTTATCTTGTGGGCTATTTGGAAAAGCAGGTGTCGTTTTATTTTTGAAGGTGTTAAGCTAGAGCCTATTGAAGTGTTGAGGTCTGCATCCTCTTCAACAAGGGAATTTATGGAGGTTCAAAAAACTGCAGCTCAAGCTTCTTTTGTCAGTCGAAGTGTGGATAACCTCTCTGTCCGTTGGTCTCCTCCAAGGAGAGGTTGGTTTAAAGTAAATTCTGATGCGGCTTGGAGAAAGGATACCAATCGTGCTGGTCTTGGAGTGATGATTCGTGACTCAGAAGGTTTGTTATGTGATGGTTCAGCGGAAGGTATAATCTGTCCTTCGGTGTTGTTGGCAGAGGCAAAAGCGGCTTTGGGTGGGCTTAAGTTGGCTTTGGACTCCAATTATCGTAAGGTTAATATGGAGACTGATTCTCTTGTCCTCAAGGCCGGTGTTGATGGGAAGTATGAAAACCGCGCTTGGGAAATTCTTCCTATCATACTGGAAATCAGGCGCATGGAAGCTTCGTTTGATGCTGTCGAGTGGAGTTGGATCCCTCGCAAAAAGAACCGGGCGGCTCACGCTGTGGCTTCGTTTGGTACAAGAGCGGTGCATAGGGTCACCTGGCTGGATCAGCCACCACCGTCTCTTATGGGTGTTTTAACCTCTGATGGGCTTCCTTGCCCCCTTGTCATTTAATATTCTGTTTTGCTGGGTTAGGATTCCTGCACTAAGCTTTGTCCAGCATGTGCTCCTTTCCCAGCGTATGCTTTTC